ACGGATCATTTCTTCTCAGCCAAAGACAGAAGATCCACGAGCTAGTTGAGCACATGCAGATGCAAGACGCACATCCAGTTGCTACACCGATGGCCACTGACTTCCTGAAGAATCAGCAGGATTCGAAGCAGTTGCCAGACAACAATGACTACAGGTCGGCGATTGGTAAACTTTTGTATTTAGTTACCACATGTAGACCTGACTTAGCTAATGCTGTGGGGATTCTTAGCAGAAAAGTGAATTCTCCCACTGAGCATGATTGGGCAGGTGTAAAGAGGGTGGTGCGATATTTGAAGGGTACCATGAATTGTAAATTAAGGTTACCAGCTGTCAAAGACCCTAAGTTGGTTGGGTATACAGATGCTGATTGGGCTGGGGATAATGCTGACTATAAATCAACGAGTGGTCATGTTTTTATGTTTGGTGATGGACCTGTCGCGTGGGGCAGTTATAAACAGAGCTGTGTAGCATTATCTTCCACAGAATCAGAATACGTTGCAGCAACAGAAGCCTGCAGAGAGATCGCCTGGCTTGATCAACTCATAAAGGACTTTGGGTTGGTGAGAAAAGGGCCTGTCAGCTTGCTAGAGGACAATCAGAGTTGCCTGAAGCTGACGCAGAGTGAGAAGTTCCTGGCCAGAACAAAACACATTGGGGTTAAATACCACTACATACGCCAGATGATCCAGGATGGACTTGTGGAACTATCCTACTGCAGCACCCAAGAAATGACTGCTGACATCCTGACGAAACCCCTACCAAGAGAGAGTTTCCAGAATCTACGTGTCAAGCTGGGACTCTGGGTGGTTGAATAAAGTTGTTTATATTTTGTATATGTTGTATTGCCTGAGAAGGGGTATGTGGGATGTAAACACAGGAGCAGTCAATGACAACATTCCTAGAGTGTACATGTTTAGAACATGGGGGGGATGTCTGTCCAGCAAGCAGGTAAACTTCCTGGGGACGGACTTCCTCCACATGTGACCAGAGGTGGGTGTGGCCTCACCTGTGCAGGTGATGACAAAAAGCACAGGGCAGGCAGCCATCTCTCTCTCTCTGCCATTTTCTTTCGACGAGGAAACACCTAAGGATGCCCTCTTGGCTCCCAGCCAAGAGAGGAGATAAGGCCTATCTTGCTATGAGATAGATTCTAAATCTATGTAACCTTTTTAAGCCTGTCTGCCGTCTGGGATCACATTGTGAACAGGACGTGAGTAAACTCTTTTATACTTTTATGAAGACTGTGTCGTGTCTTGTATTTTAAGAGGGAACTAAAGGGGAAATTACCAGGGTAATTATTATAGAGGTTCTAGCGAACCTGTGCACACGTTACCGTTGCGTACTTAAAGGGGAATGTATATAAACTCTGCTGATATTTTGGGAACTTGTTAGCACAAGTTGGATTAGGATATAATCTCACAATATATCCTCTCCTGCACCCCAGAACATTCCCACATAATTCACATTAAGCAGTGATATGGGGCGGTAGTTCTTGAGCTGCGTCTTTTCAGTCTCTGTTTTCCGTATAAGTGTGATGTATGCTTCCTTCCACGACTCTGGTGCCCTTTTCTCTTCCAGTATTTCATTACAGACTTCCTTTAAAGGTTGTATTAACCATTCTTTCAAAGATTTGTAATATCTAGAAGTCAGTCCATCCAGTCCTGGAGATTTACCTAATTGCATATTCTGAATGGCCCCTTCTACTTCCTGTTCCGTTATTTTGTAATTCAGCATTAGTTTGTTTTCTTGGGAAATTTTTTGTAGTCCATTCATTTTCAAAAATTTATCAATGTCCATTTCTTTCTGCTTCTCCTGTGTATATAGTTGTTTAAAATACCTCTGGAAGCACTTTCTAATTTCCACTGGATTCTGTATATTCTTTCCTTCCACTTCCAAATTTGTAATGGTATTAAGTTTTTGTCTTTTTTTCAATTGCCAGGCCAACAGTTTCCCGCACTTATTTGCCGATTCAAATATCTTTTGTCTCATCTGTTTGATCTTCCATTCTATTTCCTGATTCATCATTTTCATGTATTGTACTTGATATAACTTTATCTCTTTCAAAATCTATCTATACTTAATCTCTTGTTTATTTGAAAATATTGTAACCAGTCCATCAAATATGTCCTGATTTCTTCAAATTTCTTCAGATTTAATTTGTTCTTATTTTCTTCTAATTGTATTCTGTGTGTTGCCCAATCCCCTCTCGTATTTTTCTTTTTCACAGCCATGGCTTCAGTTGGTGAGGTCCACCAGGGGTTTTGGGTTCTAATAGTTCTTTATAAGGTAAAGGTAAAGGGATCCCTGACTGTTAGGTCCAGTCACGGACAACTCTGGGGTTGCGGCGCTCATCTCGCTTTATTGGCCGAGGGAGCCGGCGTACAGCTTCTGGGTCATGTGGCCAGCATGACTAAGCCGCTTCTGGCAAACCAGAGCAGCGCACAGAAACGCCGTTTACCTTCTCACCGGAGCGGTACCTATTTATCTACTTGCACTTTGATGTGCTTTCGAATTGCTAGGTTGGCAGGAGCAGGGACCGAGCAACGGGAGCTCACCCTGTCGCAGGGATTCAAACCACCGACCTTCTGATTGGCAAGCCCTAGACTCTGTGGTTTAGACCACAGTGCCACCCGTGTCCCAAAAATAGTTCTTTATATTTATCCCAAATGTTATAAAGAGAATTCCTTATTATGTGGTTTAGAAACCCCCTGTGCACCTTCACCTTGTCATATACTAAATATGCATGCCAGCAATAGCGGTTATCAAAACCCTCTAAGCCCCACAAATCTGTGACTAGCAAAATGCCATCCCGACTCCTAGAAAAACAACAACTCAACTTTCTCAAACTAAATGTAGTCCCTCACATCATAAAATAAAACACTACCTATGAAACCTGACACAGTTAAGGAAAAAACACAACTCACTCATCAAAACAGCTATCTTATAAACCTTCTCTTTTCTCTTACTAATAGTATATAAACTCCACCCCAATGTTTCCTTTTGCACTTAAAAGGAACAAAATATCTGAAAATCGAAATTAACTTTGTTAACTTTGTTGCTGGACCTGCTTTTAAAAGGACGGATACAAATAGAAATTGTTTCCCCTAGAGGGAGCTTTTGAAACTGTTGCAGGAGTGGAGCTGGGGAATTCCAGCTGCAGAGATTGAAGACCGTGAGAATTAGACACTGACCTTGGGCAAGAATGTGGACAGAAGAAGCCTTAGTGATTGCTTTTTGCAAAACAAATGCCTTATTGGAACAGCTTCATGAGAAGATGGATGCGATGACTACTAACATTGACAATTTTGCACGAAAAAGGATTGATTTGGGACAAAAAGTGAATACCTATACAGAAACTACTCAGGAACTGTCAGGAATCTGCTTTGACATAGCAAGCTGTGGCGAAGACAAAGGAGGAGGTTGTTGTTGAGCCTCAAGTAATACAAGTGGAGAGAGCCTGGGCCTTGTGTGAACATAAGCTGTTGTTTTTGAAGACCGAATCTGGAGAAAGCGAGATTTGGAGAGATGGAGTCCCGCTTGGATTGGATAAGGAAAGTTGGAAAGACCCCCTTATGCAGGGATGTTCTGGCTCTTGGGATCTGGTTTTGGGCCAGGGGGAGATTGGAGTGGCGGGGGCCTTTAACTTTGGAGGGATTTTGAAACATGTTTTGAAATATTCTTTGGATTTTAGTTCTGTATATGGAGAATGGGCTGACCTGTCGAGAAGGGATAAAGACATTGTTAGGTTGGAGTCTCCCCGAGATCTACTCCTTAGTTACAAAGGAAGGAAATTAAGAACAAGATCAGCAGAAGACAAAGTAAAGTGCAGGTATAAATATGAAGAAGATCTGCAGAAGGGACATGGAAAAGAGTTAAGAGCCTCGGACAAAAGATCACCAGGTTGATGGACTAGATGGAATGGATAGAAAGGACTGACAGAACCCGAGACCAGGGAGAAGAGACGGTGGATGAAGATTGGAAGAAAGTTTAAAAATCTATTTAGAGAAATATTGTAAAATTAATGAGTGTTAGAAAAATGTTGGAATGAAACTATATGGCTTTAGTAGAAATGTTATAAGGAGTTATGTACAAATAAGTTTTAAGTTTTAGGGTTTTTTATGGTAAGATAAGGTTAAAATAAATTAAGACAATTAAATGACAGAAAATAGTGAGAGATGGAAAGGATCTGCTAAAATAATTAATAACTAGAATACAAAAAAGGGAGGTGTGAGGAGGTCGATGAAACAAGTTAATGAAAGATAAAGGTATGGAAATATTGGATCTGTTTTTAATTTTTTTGCTTTTGTTTTTGGTTTTGATGTATTGTGTGTTTTGTTCTTTTTTTTCTTTTTTCTATGTATTGACTTGTATTGTTTAATTTCTTTTCTCTCTTTTTCCCCCTCACTTTTTTCTGTAATTTTAAACTCTCAATAAATATCATTTTAAAAAAACAACAACAGAATGTCACCAGCAGGATTCATCTGTAGTTGTTGTTTTCGTGGAATCCTAGAGTTGAAAGGGACCCCAAGGGTCATCAAGTCCAACCCCCTGCGTTGCTAGATCACCCAAGACAGATGGCCATCCAAACTAGGCTTCTTTTATTTCTAGATTGATCACTGAATAGGCTTCTAAGCAGTGGACAAATGAGAATAGCAGCCATGAACCCCTTGAATTTGGCTCTGGGGAACCTCCCCAGAACAACTCACGAGGAGCAGAGAAAGTGGATCCTTCCACTGGGGAAACTGGAATGCTTGCGTAGGCAGAATAACGTAAACATAAGCTGGAGTACCACCTATTTGCAAAAAGACGAATACCCACACTTAAAATGCAGAATAAAAGAATTCAATTAAAGCGTTAAAATAGGTACCCATAATTAAAATGTGCAGCAAAGCAATCCTTTTGAAATAACACAGCAATTAACAGGAAGGAAACCACAGAGCATTGTGTAGCAGATCATATTTCTGCTGTCTCAGAGGAAGACATTTCCCTTTTTCTTTTAGGGTCCAGTGTGCTTTGAAGATGTTGCTGTTCGTTTCACGGACGAGGAGTGGGCGTTGCTGGATCCTGACCAGAGAGCTCTGCATAAGGACGTCATGGAGGAGAATTGGGGGGTTGTGGCCTCTCTTGGTAAGCCTCCATGTGGGATCGTCCTATCTGCCAGGAAATTCAAGAAATACCTCTATGTGATAAACCTCATTGTCAGGGCTGCCTCAGGTCTCAGCTCACGAAAGACCAACGCCAAATTCTTCTTATATACAAGGACGTTTATTGCAGTTCATAGTAAGTTCCACAACCGAGGCGCGCAGCCCCCACGTCTGTTAACCTTAGACGGTAGAAGTCCCCTCTGAATCCGTCCCTCCCCTACACCAGTTTAAGAGGCTTACGCTGCTCCACCTCTTTCTCTCTTTCCTTTTCCGCAGGGTCCTTCTGCCCGCTGGGGTTCCGCTTCTTCGGGATTCTCCTGACGCTGAATCCTCAGACTGCTCTCCCCCCTCCTGCGTGCTTTGGGCCCTGGCTCCTCCCCCGGGCTCCCTGTACTTCCGCGCGCCTCTACATTTGAACTTGGCGCGCGCGCCCAACCTCTAACCTTCCTTTTGACAGTTATGCTACTCCCCTCACTGCCCTCCTCCCCTTCCGGGAGAATGGCTTCCTCTGAGCCCTCCTCCTTCTCTGCTGCCGGAGCTGTTTCCCCTGACACACTGGAACCTCCCCCCCCTTTGCTGGGCTCTGGTGGGGAAGCCGGCCCTGATTCCCAGCTGCCGCTTTGGGGTCCCCTGCTGGCCCCCCGCTCCTGACACTCTCCCCCTGGGGCTCCCCTTGCCCTGACCACGGGCGCCCTCTTCTGGGAATCCTCTGATTCGCTGGAGAGACTCATGGAATCCCTTGCGTCATCGTCATCCTCTTCCTCGCTGTCCTGGGATTCCTCTCCATCACTCTCCATCTCCTGCCTTCCCTGTGCCTCTGTCCCTGTACCCCTGACATCCATCCCCCCCTCGAAGCCCCCCCTTCCCCCCTCCCGCTGCTCGGGTGCAGGTTCCGGGAGCTCCGCAGTTGCCGGGGTAGATGTTGGATACAGTTTGTCGACGTCGATCTCCTCTGCTTCCAGTTCAGTGTACGTGTGCTCGAAACCGAGGTCCTCTCCCAACACATCCATGTCCTCCCCTCCCCCTGTTACTTCGGACGGTGCTGTTTGCCAGGGCCCTCTCAGCCATCTCCTGCGCCACTCCTCTTCCGGTTGGTCGTCCCACCAG